CAATCAGTAGTCAGTTCTGCTGCATCCTTTTTACCCAGTGCAGTGAACTTTCTCCAGCTCTGCTGAATGCTATGGGTATGCAGTGAAATCCTTCAATTCTGAGACAACTTACTGTTGGTATTTGTGCTCTCATAGCAAAAGAGCCAGTATTATATCTGGTTCCTGCATGCACAGATTTGTAAGATGAGCTCTTTAGCCCACATCCTTAAAAGTGAAACCAATAGGACTTATATGCCTGCATAAATGCATTGAGAATCTGGGCTTCTGTGCTGCCCTTTGGTACAGTCTGGACCTTAATTTTAAAAAGGAAATGTTGCAGGACCTTAAAAAACACTCAATCATTTGTGAATATTTTAAATAAATTAATTGTTAATATTTGGAATTTAGCCATTCTGCATGTATATATTTACTAATAAAATTCATATGCATGATTTAACCGTTTATGTTATGTACAAACACAACTTTAGATATATATTTGCATAGTCAAATTTCTAGCTCCCTTAGGTCTATTGCTATATACTAGAAAAGCACCCCTAGAATGGTTTTACATAATAGTTTCAATATGGTATTATTTATTTATTTATATATTTATTAAAATAAAGTATAATAGTTCTGTACCATAAAGGTTCAGAGGAAACTGTTACAGGGAGCTGGATCAGCACCACGTTACAAAGCTTAGGCAAATAATCCTTAGGGAATCTTGGTAATGTAGCATTTTGTTTTTTATGTAATTTCACGTAAATAAAATCATAAACAAAAATTTCCAAAAAAAATTAAGTGAAAAAATGGACCCATTTAATGAATCCATTAAATAGCAACTAGATCATGAATCTTGCTCTCCAGATGGAAGCATCAAATACAAATAGTACATTTATATCAGTGTGTACATAGTCTAATATATTAAATATATGGTAATCTAATGTTCATTCTACAGCCATAAACATTTAAATCTGATCTGAAGAGAAAATTTGTGGAGTTGTTGTATGTGTTTCTTTTATGTTCACTAAAGATGTATTGTTTTTATTTTTTGAATAAATGTTTTTAATCTGAAGGCATTGCTACTAAATATTTCTTAAAGATTTTTTAAAGGATTTTGATTCAACAAATGGTGGTCCAACCGTATTTTACATACAAAACCCTGTGTGAAAAGAACATTATTGAGGCTGCAAAACTGAAAAGGTAGGAAATACCATAAGGAAGATGTAACCTGAATTCAGCCACCTGGCATGTATACTTGATTATACAACCAATGAATCATATAAAACGAGGGACAGAAGGAACCTTGAGAGATCATCTAGTTCAATCCATTGCTCAAAGCAGGATCATTTCTATTTAAATCATGCCAGGCAAATATTTGTCTGTCCTGTACTTAAACAGTTCCAGTGGCAGAAAGGAACTGCAAATTTACTTACTCTACTCAAATCAAATCTCCAAATCTTTAATGAAGATATTGGACAATACTGGACCCAGAACATACTACAGGGGAAGTCCACTTGATGCTTTCTCCTGGTTTGACTTTGAGCTGTGTTTGACTACTCTTTGAGCAGGGCTATGTAGCCTTAGAACAGCTTACCTACCTTACAGTAGTTTCATCTGGAGTGTATTTTCTTATTTTACTGTCTTAAATTGTGGTCACCTGTTTTTTTGCCCCCTCTATAGATCCCCCTCCTTCATTTTTTCCTCCTCATTAAATATGTGACCCACTGCTATATTTACTGCATGCTATTCAAAATCTGCTCTGACTACAGAATTATGAATGTCCTCTTGGATTTTCCTGTGGCACCTTGCACAACAGTACTGGAGTGCTTCTTGAATATTATTTTCATAGAATCAGTGTAAGGTCAGCCCAAGTTTACAGATAAGCAACCCAGGCATAGAGATTATGGTTAAAAGTATCCACATATTTTGCACGCCAAATCGGAGATAGCTAGAACCTGATTATACACTGCATTAAGTATAATATATCACATTATATGTTCAAAATCCTAGCTCCGTTGACTTTTGATGCAGCTGTGACTGCCCAGCACTTCTGCAAATCAGGTCTCAGAGTTTCAGGTCAGGCACTCATACAATGAGAAGAACACTATTAGTGACAGTGAACAGAAGGCAGGTTTAAGTTACTTATCCAACATCAGAAAGGCACTCTTGCAGAAGCCAAGGGAAAACTTAGTTTTCTAGGATTATCATTCAGCCACTGTCATTAAGAGACCCTACTCTACCAGCAATCCTGTTTCATTCCTTACACATTGTCCAATTCTGCAACCAGTGAAGCAGGGTAATACAGATGATTGCCTCTACTTGGGTATGCAATCCCAATCCATCCCTGGAAAAGGTTCATTCTGTGCGCATAATAAAAGGGTTTTTGACACCAGATCCCTCTGAATCACATCCTGAGTTTGTCCGCTAGAGCTTGGGTATAATAATATTCCTTTCTGTTTAGCATCCCTGATCTCTGCAAGTCCATGCATACCATCTGATAAAGTAGGCTGTAGCCTACAAAAGCTCATACCTCTCTGAATAAGTTGGTCTATGAGGTGCCATCCTATTCTACGTTCTTCCTAACTTCAGACAAACACGGCTAACAACCATTCTTAAATCTGAAGTGCTGGGCTACCACGGTTTCTTCATACTTTGAAGTCTTTTTTTCCCCTTATGTTTGTCACTCACACGAGTCAAAATGACTGAAATATTAAAACAAAAATAAGAGAACACACTTTTCTCTCATGTAACTTGTGGTGTCAGGCCCAAATACATTTGTATATCACTATATGCATTTTAATTCTAGCCACAGAGTACAAAATTGTTATACATTAAAAGAAGTTAAAAGACCAGATAGGGAGATAAAAAATTACACAACAGGAGAGTCTGAGGGAGCCTTCCATTCTCAAACATGATAGCAATGTGAAATCCTAGCTCCCTGAAGTTCATGGTAGTTTTGCTGTTGACTTCAGTGGAGCCAGGATTTTACCTCAAAGCATTTTAATGTAGCCATATGAATTGGCTTGTATTTATTTTGCTTTAGGCTCTGAAAATGTCAGAACTGAGCAGATACTGCGAAAATATTGGAAAACCATTGTTTGGAATAAAATCTATTAATTTAATTTGACACTGTTCCTAATTCCTTTTATTTTCCAAAAATATGAGAAATTAATTCTGGTTTGTACAAGTATCTTTATGAAAGACAAAACATTGCAAATATTTGCAACATTAGTTTTTCTATGATTCCCTGACATTTCTCTGTACATTTCACAGTCATCCTAACATGACGCTGAAACAATATTATTGATGAAATCCCAATTTTGCTGAAGTTCATGGCAAAACTTTACTTCATGTCTTTCACTGTGTGAGATTAAGGTGATCAAATGCATGAAACAATGTACGAATAACCAATATTCAAAGCAACAAATAAAGTGAACCATTTGTGACCATCTGTTATAATGAAGTATGTTGCATAAACCAGGTATCAAATAATAATCGTGTTTAAAATAAATGCTCTTTGTGGATAATTGACAAATGGAGAAATAGGCCTGATTCACTGAATAAAAAGTTTGCCATGAATACATCTTTCAGATCTGGTGGCTCTGTGGCAAACCTATGTTACTTTACAAATTCTAATTCAGCAACTACTATCGCTCTATCTGAACTTCTTGATGGTTTTTAAAGTTTTTTTTTCTCTCGAAATGTTTATTGCTGCTATGGGCTGTTGAAAGACCAATGTCTGTCACTTCAGTGGTGTGTTTATTTTAAGGCCAGGTACAGACATTACATTTTTATCAGAATAAGTGATTGGAAACTGGTCATACCCATAACAGAAAAGAAGTTCGGCGCACACAGACTGGTTTAAAAAAGGCAGAACCTGGTCTAAGATTTGCCGGCCCTCCCTCCCCACCAAATGGTAAATGCATGTTCTGTTTGCTACCAATCTAAACTACTCCACTTACAGGCAATCATGTAACCTAAATCAATTCTGCCTGAGACTTCTTGAATGTCTGTACCTAGCTTAGAAGTGACCAAAGAAATCTCAGAATACGTGATTTGTATTTGCCTTTAAAGCATTTAGAATGTTTGACTAGGACACTAGACTGGTAATTATTAGTTTTACGGTCCTTCATGAGTTTCTAAAACTTGCAACCAGAAGCAAGTGTTTCTTGTAGAAATGCTCTTACATGTATGAGTGATTGCAGTGGGGATGCTAAAGAGAAGGGAGTGAAGTTGAAAGAAACAACAACAAAAAAAGTTGAAGTTTGCAGAAATAAAGGAGCTATCAGGAACAGATAAGAGTTATTAGGAACTCCCAAAAGATATAAGGAACAGAATTTTAAGGATCTGCTACAAAAGCTTGCTTGCCCAGCCTGTTCCAAGGGCAGTATTTGCACTTGAATATCTATGAGGGCTGTGCTACCCAGAAAAGCTTAATGTACAGCTAAGCACTGAAGAACACCTGGTATTAAAGTTAATATTAACCTTGATACTAATATTTGTCCCTTGTTAAATGAACTCAAACATCTCTAGATTTGTCATCTCTTGCTTTCATTTAGACTCAAAGACTACTTTAGGCAAGGAGTCAGTATTTATTAAGTCAGACTTTTTGGTTACTCAAAAGGGCAGGAGTTCAGTGCAAGAAATATGTTAACATGCATAAAAGCCACCTTTTGTCTTTTGGAAAGAATTTACAAATTTGGAGCATTTCCACTGGTGGTTTCGTTCACACAAGTTAATTTATAGCTGGTAAGACACACGGTTCTGCATATTTCAGTACAAGTTCCTTTAGGCATTAGCAAATAGAGAGGGGAGAGGGCACTAAAAGCATATTGAAATAAATGTACTGCACAGTAAATTTACTGTCCTCATTTGGGAGTCTCCATAAAGCTTCAGGCAGCATGGCATTATTAAAGCTTGTGGAAGTTTTGCTTTTTCTGTTCTAGGTAGCTGCACATGCTAGCATACAGAAGCAGAGGCAGCAAAGTTGCAGGAGAAGGGCAGCTCTCAGAGTTACTTACGTTGACAGCCCAAGCTGTGCCAGATATATCCCGGCAGACACTTATCACACTTAGGCCCTGATGTCCCCTTCTTACACTCACAAAATCCTGTGTCATTACAGCGATCATGGACTGAACCAAAAGGGTTACAATAACAGTCTGCAGAAACAAGACAACACACATATGCCAGATTCAGGTCTACATAGCTATAATTCAACTAAAAGCGATAAAGGGAGCATTTCCAGTGTTAAGATTAAAGGAAGACTTTCTATTGGTGGCATTTGGAAGACAGAACATAATTACAACAGATCTACCCATTTGTTTCCTTACGTAATCTCAAGGAGACATTTTAATGGTGTGAAGGAAAAAAAATAAGCAAAAGATATAGAGGAAGAAGATACTGTGTTCTTTAAGTGACCATAATGGAGATTCCATTCTGGAAAGGATGTCTTAGACAGTTTAATGAACAATAGAAAGTTTTGTATAGTAAGGATAAGTCAATATGCCATCAGGGTAAAATCTATTTTAAATGATTAAAATATGCTTATCTGTATTACTTAATACTTTAAATACTGCTGAATATTTTTAATATTATATAAATGCACTTTACTTATTTCCAAGATAGTCTTCCTTTATATTTAAGAGTATATAGTAATTTCAAAAGGTTTTTGTCATTGCACTGATGGGAGTGTACTTAACACTGTTTTCACATAATCCAGAATAATAATCTTGAGCTGGGGAACAAGGTCACATGAAATTTGCTTTCAACTGACTTTAAACTTTGTCATTTTCATTCTACTTTGCTCACCTTGTCCCCAGGATGGTGGATAGAAGATAAAGCGATCGTAATGCATGCCCAACATACAAAGGTCTATTTGTCTCATGGGTGTGCACCTGGTCAAGGACTAGAATAAACCACGGACTGGGTATATCTCATCTGTTCTTATAATTATTACTACATAGAAATAGTTTCTCATTCTTGAACTTCAAATCTTTTTTTTTTCATAGAGCCACGAAATCAGTGCTCAGCTTTGGGCCAGCATCACAGAAGAATGCCCTCCAAAGACAGGAGAGATCAGTGCTGGCAGAGCTCATTTTTTGGCATTTCTGTTGTTCAACATCTTTTTTTTTAAATTTAAGAATCAGATTCTAATCTCATTTACACTGTTGTAGACCCAGAGTAACTTCACTAGTGTCATCAAATATCGTTGCTGCTGATAAAAACAGGATATATGAATCTAAGCACCTTGTTGGATGCATGGTTTTATTTTTTTAATTAATCAAGCTGCTCTGCTGACTACCTTTGGCAGTTGTTCTCTAGAATTATGTTAAAATTCAATGACATTACAAATGACAAAACAGGAGAAATAATCCAATGGAAAATTGGGAGGACGGGAAGATGGGAAAGAGGGGGAAAATATTACTAGTAACAAATTGGTCATCTGTTGCCTACATGCTTATTAACTATAAATTACAGATGACATTTCAAACATTTGGCATGCTGGAGGAGAACAGCTACCTTTGGCCAACACAGTTCCACAATAATAATCTAGTCAATTAGCTAACATTAATTAATGAAGTTGGATACTGGCATGCCAAAAAATATTGTGGAACACTGAGTAAAATTATGCCTCAGGGGGATCAATATAAAGAGCTGGCAATTCTGATGGTACTCAGACATTCAAAACCTTTATATAAATAGGCATAAATTTGAAGTATTAACTCTATGCAGAAACTCTGCAGAAAGTCAAATTTATTTAAATAACATTTATTGAACACCTTGTAAATAAAAAACTGAATGTAACCTGGGAGAACACAACAGTTACACTGATGTAAATCTACTACGAGTGTGAAAAGACCCAGGCCTGTTATGCATAATAGGCCAAATCTTTTTTTCACTTTTAAGCATGCAAGTGCATGTAGCTAGGTAAAGTGCACTTTTTGGCACTTACATGAAGCTGGGATCATCCACATAGGCTTGTACCTGAAGATACTGTATGTGTCCTACTTCACAGCAAAGCACTCTATCAGGCTGTAGGCTTGGCATTACCCCTTCTCTTTATCCATTTGCCCACTATCTTTTCTATACCTTGCATTGAATATACATTGGATAACATGGATAAATAGAAGCTGCATAATTTATGCCTCGCTGTGGATAGAGGCCGGAGACCCAGGGATCTCTCTCTTCCAGGTCAGTGTCCATCTCAGAATCACGTCCTTTCCCCCCAGGAACTTCCTCTCCTAATCCTCTTGGCCCCATGTATTGTCCCTTCCTGGCTGCCAGCTTTAAGGAGAGGGCTGAAGACCTGGGCAATTCCTAACCTGTTCCCAGGTTGTTAGAGCACTTTTGCTGGGAACTGGGAGATGTGGGCTCAACCCTCCCCTGAGTTAATGGAATTGAGTTAATGTTGTTGCCACGATGATCCAGGAGATATCAGAATTAGAATTAAGACCATGCATACACGCTCAAAAGTTGTACTTGTGCAGCTACATAAGAGCCAATCAGGGGCATAAAAGTGAAATGGGATTTAGCCCTATCTGTATATAACATACTATCCCACAAGATGACAGCTGAAACAAATGGTCAGGGCAAGAACTTCCATTGACTTCAATCACATGCATAAATAAGGAATACTGGGATTGTATTTTGCTGTAAATGGTGGCAAATAAATACTAGAATAAAATAGCTTTTATGCTAAGCTTCTGTGTAAAAGTTTTAAGTCAAGTTACTGGGAACTACCCACTATACTTTAAAAAATATTAAAAGTTAGGCTTTTATTACCCCAACCCGCAAACACTAAGGCATATGTCTGACTGCATGCATTTGAGTCAACTATGTGTGCATTTAACTACATGTCTTTGTACAGTTCCCTTGATACCCATATATATTAAGCATATGTCTGAGGGCATTTATAGACAAGCTCCAGGAGGCGGGAGATGCTTTAATTAGCATAGCTCCAAAGGCCATGCAAATTAAAAGCACCCGAAGCATCACAGGTATCAATATCCCCGAATTGAAAAATGGCGGCAGGGCACTTTGGACTAAAGCTCATTGACCAAGCTTTAGTTTAAAGTGCCCCACTGCCACATTTCAGCACGGGGATGCTGATTCACGTAACGCTGGAGTCTGGCAGACTCGATTAATTGAGTCTGCTCCAACACGCTGAAATTACTGCAAATCAGAGCAGCCTCCCTGCATGTGTATAGGAGCCCCAAATGTCTGCAGGACTGGCATCTTTTTAAGGAGACAATAAATTGCCATTCAGTATCTGTTTCATAAGGCAAGCAAATAAAGTAATTACTCTGGGTCTACTTGGTGATATCCATGGTATCATTAACTCTAAGTGGAAGCAGATGTATTTATGTGGCCCACAACTTCTTGTTTAAACTTTTCATTCCCATGATGTTAAGCACAAGCCTTTGTGTTACTTTGTGGTAATTCTGTCATACCGGAGAATAATTACATGATATTTAAAGACATGATACTTGAAGTTAATATGGAAGTGCTATCAAATTAATCAGTAATTCCAAAAATTTTTTCACTATATACGTAGAAAAAAGTAGCCAATGTCCTGTGCAAAACAAAAACAATAACAGGATTTTGTAAGTAATATATTCAAGTGCAACTCTTTAAGATATTATTAATATTCCTTCTTCAAAATGAAGAATTCAAAGAAATATTTTTCACCCCCTCCTAAAACTACCGTTTTGGGATTTGGCTGTGATTAATTAAAAAAAATATTGAATTGACCACACACGCAATTTTGTGGCTAAATCATAAATACTAATAAGGTTAGGTTTGAAAGGAGTTTTTTTTTTTGCATGACTTTACAAACATTACAAAATAGTTTATTACACTTATTTCTTTCCAACCTATGGGTCCTAAAAAAATGAAGAACATTATTAGATGGAAGCCCACCTCATAACTTGCTCTTATTTGAATTCACTGGTAAAAAAAACAAAACTCCATTATTTGATTCTCTGTCATTTCTCGAAATAACATATTGTATATTTCCTTCATTCAGTTTAGCCTTGACTAATATTCATTGTTTATTTTTAATTTTTAACCTTATACTTACCCAGGTATATTTTTATTTTGATTTGATTAGTATCAGTATATCATAAACAGTAAAATGTCTGACTTCATAAAATAAACTTATCCAAGTATTTTTAATTTTCCTAAATACTTTATCTGAAAATGGGGGAAACAAATTAACTGGAAAAATAACATTTTCATAGAAAAATACCAATGCAAATTATTTATTAGCTTATAATTATTTCCTTTTCATGTGATCAAAACTCAAAACAAAGAGTGCATGTTGTTATACTCTGGGGAAATCAAATGAGCATTTCCAATAGAGCAAGACACTCTGCAATTGACTCTGAGAGGTGCTGAAATCAAGAGGAGTTGAAATGCTCAGCACCTTGCAGGTTGAAAAACTCAAGAGCCCCAGTTCAGGAAAGCATTTAAGGATACACTTAAGCCCATCCCTTTTGAAGAAAGTACTTAATCATGGCTTGAAGTCCCACTTAAGCACTAGAATTATTGTCTGAATTGGAGCATCAGTTAGTATATGTAGGCTTTTGCATGCAGTATAACTACAAGCTGAAGGAACTGTTATAGTGCAACAGTAATATTTTTGAATTTACATGAGTGAAATCATTTGACAAGCAGTAATTTTGCATTTGTATGGCTTGATCCTGCAGTCATCTCACAATGTAAAATTCTTGTGGGAGTCCATGAGAATTCTGCTTGCATTAGGGTGGCAAGGTCAGGAAATGCATTGTGTATATTTATTTTCTGAAGAACCTTCCTAGTTAAATTAAAGACTTCCAATTTTATTACTGCTGAGTCTGTGGAATATTGAGATCTGCACAGTTGTTCATTTTGCTAACTCATTCTAAAGGTATCAATTGTAAATTATTTTTAAAAGTAATTATTTTTCACTCCTGCTTTACTAAATTTCTTCTCTGCCCCTCGTGAGATAACAAGTGATTTTTTTCCTAGCATTTCATCGTTTATGAGGTGGCAAATTAGTAACTGTGCCTATAAAATAAAATCTAAAAAAAATTACTAAATAACTAGCCATACCTGTCAGCCTCATTTAGACAATTTAAATTATGATCTTGATGCAGTGATGACAATATACCTTTTCCGTATCAAGAAAGTATTTGGCTGGGGGGTGTGGTGGGGTGGTGAATACTTCTGTTCAAAAGTACTGTATTTGGCATGCATGTTAATTTTATTTAGTAGAACAATATGAATTCATGACTTGCTACTTGTCATATTGAAGTTCATATTAGCTCAGCTTAATTAATTTCAAAGGGAATCACACATTTTTATTTCAGATGATGGGAAGCAAAGTTAAAGAGGACACATGAAATATACAGTGTGTGCATGTGTCTTGATTTTTTGTTTAAGAATTTATTTGACAGGTTGCAGACTGGAACAAATGATAGCAATCTAAATAGGTTCTGGCTGTATCTTTCCAATGGATTAAAAGATATTTTCAACATAAAATGTGACTTCACTCTGAAAATTTGCCCATAGTCTATTTTTTAATTGAACAAATATATTACCTTTCAATCACATATTAACTCTTTGGTTGCTCTCTGATAAGTACCAGAAAATGTCCCACTTCATAGACATGGTAAATGAAGAGAGAGGAAATTCAGAACTGATCATACTGAATATTATAGTATAAATAATTTGACTTAAGACATTACAGCTCTGTTCATTATTGGGATACACTTATTGGGCAATCTATTATATAATGACCCAGCTGTGAAGTTGTATTTTTAATATACTACGTGAAATTTTCACCTACCTATCTCACTATATGATGCTTGAGATAATACAAAGAGGCTATACTTTACTTTAATGGAACATCTTCCATTTTTTCCCAGTATATCACTCTTAATAATAATATTCTATTGTGGAATTATCTTTATTTTAGCAGGTTGCAAGTTTACAGTCAACATTTGATGGTAAGTATTTTCTGAAATGCTGTTTTAATTAAGGGGTCCTGCTTCAAAACTGTTGTCATGATATGACCCAGGAAAATTAAATTTTTAAAGTTTGGTAAACTGATAAAGCTTTCAGTGTCTTATTCTTGGATATAATTAGTTTGAGAAATTCTACTGTCAGCCACAAGTACTCAAATGGAGTATAATTCCATAGAGGGAATTGATTCTGTACATACATCTTCATATGTGAGAGTAAATTTGGTAGTGTTAGAGTGATGTTTTAGCCATGATGGCCCAGGAACAATGTTAGAACAAGACAGTGAAATATGGCATGGTTATATTTATTTTTGAAACTGGAGAAATGGAAGTGTGTCAGAAAACAGATGCTAATCTTACTGTCATATTCACTCTTATTGAGACTTCAGTGAGGTTCTGCATAAACAGTCCAATTGCAAGGTCGGAGCCTATGGCTGAAGTTTCAATCTTTCAATCCTTACATGTGTACAGCTCTCATATTGTCCCTTACGTGTGGAAGGACTGCACAATCAATTTATCATTAGGCTTCTGATTTTTGTTATATTACAGAAATTCAAAATATATGCTTAAAACTGGTGCAAATGAATTAAAAGACTACACAGAAGATGCTCTCATCCATTGAAAACGCTCATTCTGGCTCAGCTGGAAAATGAACAGCAGTGGTGCAAATTGCTAGCCTATATCCTAGTGGCTCCCAGAAGCTGAAAAGGCACAGAACAGAAGCCAGAATTATAAAGTAACTGACCTATGCATACATTTTCATCGTCCAGCTCTGCAGAAGCATTTCTGAAGTAGCCCAGCCTGCATAACTCACAGTGCTGCCCTCTAGTGTTGTGTTTACAGCTCACGCAAATGACTATATTTAGCAGCTTGATGTAACTGCACCGGTTGGAGTGGCCGAAGCATTCACAGTCTTGCAAGGAAGAACAGAAATGTATACAAAATGTATACGGTAGCAGAGTAATAGCACATTACATGCTTTGTAAAAATGAAGTATGAGTAGAAAATGAGTGAATGGCAGCACAGACATGTTAATTAATGTTAACACATGGACAACAACAGATGTTTCATCTGACATGAAAATGACATCTGTTTCAGGCAGGTTAGAATGATCAGACTTTTATGACATGACTTTGAAGATTTGATTGTAGTTGGCAGATCTGATGGAACTGAAGCATTTGCAGTTGTAAACCTTTCAAGGTATGGTAGGCTCAGTTTCCATTGATACAAATGCATATCCCTTAAGATGGAAGTAATTAAGACACATGTGCAAAACTTTCTTATAGTTAAAAAAAAAAAAAAAAAAAAAAAGGAGAATAATAAAAATAATTATAAAACATTAAATACAAGGGATGCAATTTTCAAAGATATGTGCCCAAAGTCTTGCACTGAAATAAAAACCCTGCTTCTTATGTTATTCCTGATTAAATCAATTGCAGTTGACAATGCTGGGCATCACTGAACATGAGGCTTTTTCATTTAGGTGCCAAATGCTCCGAAGTTTGAAAATTTTGGCCAGCATACCTAAAATTAATTATTTGATACAAAGGAAAGGAACATGGATGAGCTCTATTTAAACACCATTTAAATGATAATCTCCAGACATACTTATGTCATCTTTATACCGATGACAAAGCTTTCAGGACCAGTAAACAATCCTGTAAGTTCTGATATTCATATAGAATAGGAAGAATGTCTATTTTATTCATCTAAACTTTTAAAATTGATGAACTTCAATTCTGATTTTAGAGGAAAAATTAAATATAACAATCACTTAAATATTTTATTTATGAAACCAATTTATGGCTTGGGAACAAAAAGATGAGGGGTAAGGGAGGTTCATGGTATTGTACAAGACTCTTGGGGATACCTCCCTTGGAACAAAATTCCAGTCATCTGTGTTCATGAAAGGCTAATTCAAACTGGAACAGGTGCGGAGAATGGCTACTAGGATGATCAAGGAAAAGAAGAACCCGTCGTATGATATGGCTCTCAAAAGACTTTGGCTTATATAGTCTAAAAAATTTAGGCAGAGAAGTAATACATTATTGTTTTCTAGTCAAAGATCAGGAAGTAAACACAAGTGAGGGAAGAGCCTTTTTAAGGTAAAGAATATAACGGCACAACAACAAATAGGTAAGTTTAGGCTGGAAATTAGAATGATGATTCTAATTAGAACTATAGGATATGGTGCCTGCAATTGCAGGGCACTCCATGACCCAAGCCTACATTCTTAAGTTAACCTATTATTACCATGTAATAATACTAATACCATAAGGCCATGTAAGCACTATAGGAAAAGGGAGAGAAAGAGAGACAAAGGCCCCAATCCTGCAAATCCTAGGAAGTCAGAGTACTGCTGAGACTGCATGGATCCCCTCTAAAAATAACAGGGCTTCAGGGGAACACAGCAATTTGCAGAGTCAGAGCCTATGAATATGCATCCTGCTGTATTATATGAGTAGCAATACTCAACATACAAATTTTGCCTACATGTAGTGTCTATTTCGACTACAAGCTCTGTGGCACAGGGACCATCTTTTATTTAGTTAAACAGTGCTTAAGTGAAAAAGAGGTCTCAACTGTGAGATACGGTTTTTGCTGATAGCAGAAAATAAATGTTAAATAACATTTACATATACCCATGCCTGTCCTCTATAGTGTTATAACTAAATAAACAGCTGAAGCAATCTTTTCCAATTCATTTCAGCATGCTAATTCAGAGGCTTGTATCTTCCAGCAAGAATGTAGGCTGATGTGTGTATGCTGCTTAACACAACGACAATACGGTGTTGTAGTGGTAGACTCAAAGCACTATTAATAATGTTCCCAGTGGTGGAACCTTACTTGTAATTTTAAATTAAAAAAACTCAGTTCTACTCTGTAATTATATAGAAAAATGCCAAACTGTAAAAAGAGCAATAATTAATTGGAATGTATCTGCAAGAGGTAAATTATTTTTATTTATGTCACTAATTCAGTTTTAATTGACGTTGACTCCTCAGGAAGTAACCATATCTTGGCAGATCTTAGTATGTATATGCTATACTTGCAATACCAATAAATGGCTAAAAATATCATGCATATATTTATCCTGGTTCATCTGGTCAATGACTTTAAACATCATGCTACACTGCCAAATTGCCATTTCCCATGATTAGAATGAGAAAAACATGAGAGATATGGGTACCTGGGCCTAAATGCGGAAATGATCAGTAAGTCAATGGAAAGACCGACAAACAAAGGGGATACTGAAAATTCTCAACTCAAGAAGTTGGGGGTTTTTCATAACCCAAGGATGAATGTTGTCTAGGTTTATGATGTCTGATCACCTTGTCCTTGACATTTTCATGACCTTTTAGTATCAGAGACCCAAGTTCAGAGGTGATTCATCAGGGGCAAAGGTAGTTCAATCAGCTGGGCAGATGGAGCCAGAAGGACAGGGAGTGAGGAGCAGAAAGGAGATAGGAAACAGAGCAACTAGCAACAAGGATAGATAACTAGGATAGGAAGTGCTGGAGACAGAGGCAAATGGAGGTACTCATATTCTAGGGAGACAGTGCAGCTGCTTTTCTGTAATACTTTTAAATAGCTAAGCTACTTTGAGTGGTGTGGACCTATTAGAAGCAAGGATATAATAGCCAATTAGACCAGACATGTGAGGATGAGTCATCATATTTGCATGTGAGAGTCATTACATGAGCCTTTGTACCTCTTTCTCTCTGGTCTGACAGAGGATGTACCTTCTGCTACAGTTGCCCAATTGGTTTCTGACATGAGGCACCAAATTTAGTGGACTCCCAGTCAACAGTTTTGGCCATCTATGGCGGCTGCATCATATCAAATGATCAGAATATCAATACAAGGGCTTTCTTTATAAAGAGGTGATAACAAAGCTGATGATATTACTTCTAAGATAGCAGGAAGGAATCAAGAAAATGATTGTGATATGACCTTCCAAAAGTATTACTGAGAAAATGTTAAAATTATAGTTATAACATGTTGTGGTAAAGCTGAAAGATAATTAAGCCTTTCAAAGCAGGATAAATAAAGCTAATACTAACTGATTACATTCTTGTAACAGTAACTTGCTCCAAGGTACAGTTTGGCCTAAGGAAACACCTCCTGTAGTTATCAGCGACTCAGTCTGACACATACACAGATGTATATACAAGCTAGTTACAGTAGTAGACAACTATACATTTGTATTAATGATGAAGAAAACTAACAAACATATCTTTTGAACTTGTTCACATTCATGTGAACATCACCACGTTGTTACAGTGAGATCACTTTTTACTGCATAAGCTATATTTAAGTTAGGACAGCTATGCTATGGTTTAGGTGAAAATCTGTGCACATTGGTCATTACATTTATAAAGTGTTACATGAGATGGAAGTAAAACAGGTAATCTCAGAAACAGTTTAACTGATCAAGGATTAGCTGTAGTGGAAAGTTAAAATGACTAAACATTGTTGACATACAACAGTTTTTATTTTATTGGTCAATAAGGTAATTAAAATAATGAAGATGCTGCTTTGGCCTGTAAAGTCCCTTTTATATCACTCTTTTTGCAACGGCAGTGTAAAGGAGCCTCCTGCAGCTCATATAAATTGTTACCACAGATCAGTATAGCACATTATACAGAACTGTATCCTATATCATGCCACCTGGGAAGGTAATACATGACACCACTGTTAACTGTTTACTCTCCTACCCAGCTTAAGAACTTGTGAATTACCCTAACCAGCACACAGAAAGGCCAGAAGATGACATAATGACCTCCTTAACTTCCTACACACAGGTTTGTCTGCCAGTCAAACCAAACTTTCCATCACAGGCAAAGCCATACAACCACTGATACAGAGGGAAAAAGGTGGCAAAAGCTAGGATATTAATAGTCTAACAAGAACAACAAAAGGCAACAGTTTACAAGGCAGGCAAACAATGCTTTCAGGTTTGAGTACCACATATCAGAAAAGACATGGACAAATTGAAGACAGATTAAAGCTGAGTAACAATAAATGGTAAATGGTTTGGAAAATTAAAGCTCAGAGGAAAGGTTAAGATAGCTGGGTATGTTTAATGTTGAGAAAAGGACAGCAAAGATACCCAAGCCTAGCTTTGATAATCATCTCTCTGAATGATTCAGGAATTGTCAAATCCCTTGCCAAGATGCAGAGGGTTGGGCTTGATGAACCATTAGATTTGTTTTCCAATGAAACCACTTGATGGAGATAATCCATCCAAAATTGTAAAACTCAAGGTTATAATTGCATTTTAAAGGAGACATAAAAATAATGTCAAACATTGATAATTTTATTCTCATATTTCTCACTTTACTATGAGAAAATGCCTGTGTGCATTCACATTTTTTAAATGACAGGTCCTGCTCAGACTTTGATACATGACCAGTGAAACTGTCACATGAAACAATTATAAAAGTATATGAAAGAGAACCAAAAATTTGAAACAAAGACATTCATTAGGTGATGCTTGAGACACCTCTTGGTTCCAGATTTTAATTTAAAAACTATAAAATTATTTCAAGGAAAGGGATTTAAAAGAGACCTAAAATGATTAGTCTTGGGTTTTTTTTTTCGTTTCCTGACTCATCTCCTTCCCTTGTCCTCACCTATACAAGCGAAAGGCAAACAAATTAGATTTTCAGTGTAACCTTAGCAATAACTTGTTTCATAACAAACAGTATGGCTCATTATCATCAGTTTCATTGAACAGGTCAAACTAAGTTCAATTTTTTGTTAATAAACCTATACCTTATCAACTTAAATTTCATGAATAATGAGGTAGCGACAACAAGAAGCATGGAAAACTATACATCTTTTATATATACTCTATAGAGATACACAGATGAGGGAAAAACAAATGGGAATTTTTTTCTGACAGACATC